TTTTTGCAACTTTTTCTCTATTTATTTTTAGAAAAATGTGTATTTAAAAAACAACCAAATTAAAAAAAAATATTTTAACTAAAAATGTATGCCAGAATAACTGGTCGACCAGTTATTCTGGCATACATTTTTTCTAACGATCGTTAGATCATTGTGAGTATACTATAAAATACTATAGTATTTTATTAATAATAAATATTAATAAATATTAGTCAAAAAGACGTCTATAGACACTATAGTGGCCGGCTAGTGCCTTTTTCTAACGGTCAATTAAAAGCCCGAATATATTCAACTTCTAATAATTTTGATATTGTTAATGTTTTAAAACCAAAAAAATAATATTAAATTTGTCACTGTTTCACTCTAATTTTAAGTTTCACAAAAGACTATTACCTGTTTTCAGAGCTGCAAGCTCTCAGAAAACTTAAATCGTTTTTTTGATTTAAATCGTTTTAATGACTTAAGTCATTTGGTAATAAGTCATTTCTCTAAAACTGACTTAAGACTTAACATTTAAGTAACTTTCAAAATGATTTGTGACATAAATATTTTTTCAAAATAGAAAAAACTTAAGTCATTAATAAAAGGCTTAAATCAGTACATACGATTTAAGTCTTTATAAAAGTCGTTAAATTATTTAAGTAATTTAAAAAGATTTAAGTCTTTTTGAAAAAGATTTAAGTCTTTTTAGAAAATATTTAAGTCAGATTTTTCATATATTTTTTTATAAATTTTTAACAGCGGCATTTTCTTTTGAACTGCCAGGGGTTCACGCGGCAGCAGATCAAAAACTCCTTTAATTTCCTACCTACAATTGCTACCGCTAGTAAATAAAAAAACCGCCGCGGTAAAGTTAGCTTTTAGGAACCGTTTGACGGCTACATTAAAAAATGTCCTGTCTAAAATAAATGAAAAAAAAATGGGGATTTATAATTTTGTTATATTGTTTGCCAACATTCGTCGTGTTATGCGTGCGTATACGCACGCATAACTATAGTTAGGTCTAATTTGTGATTATTAGTGCAAAGTGGAAACAAACGATTAACAGGTAAGGACGAATAAATATTATAAAGAAGTGTTTATATCATACAGGGAGGAATATTTTTTTTCTAGATGGATGTTGAACCAGCTAACAAAAGTTAACAAAACAACAAGTTATCAGTTTTTGAAATACAGCGATTTTAGAAAAATGCTTCAACTTTTATCTATTTTACCAGAGTTTGAATCTATTACCGTTTAGAAGTTACCCATTTATGTATATAAAAAAGTAGCCTCCCTATATGTACTCTACTAAAAAAGGTGGTTTAAGTTTTTATTTTGATTGTCTACTAAATATATACTCAAAAAATGTGTTTTAAGTTTTTATTTTGTTTGTAAGTGTTCTGAAAATAAATCGGTTTAAATTCTTAACATTTTAACGTGGTTTATTATCATCTGTATCTACAATAGATTAATAATATAAGTATCATTAATCCCATAAAATTATTATTAACATTTAAAAAATCGTTATATTGACTTAAGGGTAATTATTTTGATTTAAATCACAATTTTTGATTCAAGTCATTTTATAGATCACAATTTAAATAAAAAATATAGACTTAAGTCATAAAAACGACTTACTAAAGGAATTAAGTCATAAGATGACTTAAATCACTTTATATTGATTTAAGAATTTTCAAAAATGACTTGACTTGAAAGAAAATGATTTAATTCAAAGACTTAATACTTAAATCATTTGAACTTTATCTTAAATTTGACTTAAGATTTAAATCATTTTGATTTTAGAATTGACTTAAGACTTAAGATTTAAGTCTTTTTAAAACTGACTTGTTGCAGCTATAATATTAAAACAGGCTGTTTTAATATTTTTAAGAATACAGTTCCCTATAATTTTATAAAAAATATATATAATTTATTATTGTTTATTCTTAATTTTATTTAAGCCTAATTACGAAACCAATAGATATACATGAATTAAAATAATTTAAAATATAATATTTAGACAATAACTGGCTTAGTAAAAGTCAGGCATTTAAACTTTAAGGTACCTAAGGTCTTAATTTTGTTCATATTTCTATAACGATGTCAACTTATCCATGAATATGCATATAACTTATGCGATTTTTTATATTTTATTATATTTTTGCTGCTTTTAAAGCATTTGTACAAGCACAAAAAAATAAAAAAAACAATATGAGCTATACAAGCTTTTAAACTTTGTAATAAATACTAAATTTCCTGTGAGTTTTATATTTCTATCTAGAAGTTAAAATTTATATGAAGGATAAAATGATGCGTTTTTAATTTTCCATGTGTTAGCCTTTTTTTAAAGCCCATGTAAAAGAAAAATGGATGAAAATATCAAAACAAGTCAAATAGGCATTTCATTTTTAAGGTAAGGACTAAATATCCTGTTAATGTCATATTTCTATATTAAAGTCAACATACTTATATAATGGATGAAATAATGCGACTTTTTAATATTTCAATATTTTCTCCTTTTAAAGCTACTGTATAACATTCAAAGATGAAAATAACAATTGTTAAAACCAAACTACCAGGCATTTGAACATTAAGGTAGGGGCTAATTATCCTGTAAATTTCATAATTCTATTTGAAAGTTAATATCCTCATATAATGGCCTAAATAAAGCGCTTTTTTTTCATTTTTAAAGTATTTGGTATGTAAACTTAATATATGAAAAAAAATAGCTGTTCGTATTAAACAGCCGAGACATGGGACGCATTACAAAACACGAAAAATTAGTAAAATACACGTTTTTTCAGCACCGTGTAATTATTTAGAAATATTGATTGAGTGAATTTATATTTTTTTTATAAAAACTTCTATTTTTTAGCTTTAAAATGACATTTTAAAATTTAAAAAAAAATACAGCTTAAATTATTAAAGCATAAAAATGTCGTTTTTAAAAAGTTTTAATTCGAATAGGCCGGATTTGACACATGCGAAAAATTAAATAAGGGTGGATTTTGTCCTTTGGGACCCTAATGAATATTTCTATAAAATTTGAGCAAAATCCAAGATGGTCGAGCAACGAGTTTCGGCATTTTCATATGGATTGACTCCAAATACAAACCTATACTTCACTTTATTTAACAGTTATTTTTGCTGTCACGGTGGCAAATATAATTTTAATTATATTAATATATATATTTACCATACATTTATAAAAAATCAGTATTTACTACTGAGCTTAGTAACTGAAAGTGGATTTCGGAATGCGTTTGAACTAATGACAGTACTGGCAGTAAATTACAGAACGTTACCCAAGATAATCATCATCAAATAAAAACAAAATGGCCAACAAATTAATAAAAAATATTAACAAAAATCCCCAGATGACAGTTGAAAGATAACGAAAAAAACATTTTTTTTGCAATTAACCCAATGTAACGTCCCGCTTTTGGCGAGACAGTCCCGAATTTTGAAATTTTGTCCCGCGTTCCGCTTCATCAGAAAAAGGTGGTTTTATTACCTAGGGTACTAGTAAATATTTTTTGAGCAACCGATTATCCTGTTAAATATGACGCATGTGGGGAAATGTGGGCATGTGACAACATAATCTTAAAATTGTTATCTAATTAAGTAACAAATATTGTCAAACCTGACTTTTATAGAAGCTTAATTTGATTCAATATGGCTTATGTTTCGTAAACGCATTCCGAAAACCACTTTCAGTTATTGAGCGGAGTAGTACTACTAGTAAATACTACCCTAATAAAGGAGGAGCAGACCGAAAATTCAACTTTTGAGAAAAAGACTTCGTTTTTTTTTTAAATAAAGTTTAACTTTCTGATATATCTTGTGTTTTACTATAAAACAGCATAAAGACTCTGTTATTTCAAAACAAACTGGGGTTTGTCCGCTTCAGACAATAAAAGAGCATTTAGGATCCATCTTTTTCAGATTTCTAATATTCTTAACGGAAGCCAAAAAAGCTGACAGATAAAGTAAAAGGTTTGTATACGTTAATAATAATTATTTTATTAAATACTTATAAAATATAAATCGAAATATTCTCTATTATTGTCGTCCAACTCAAAAAAGGTTTATAATATTTTAAAAATTTAAATTTATTTCTATGGGTTGGATTGCGTTTGCGTAGCCATTGTCACTTTCTGGTGCTACTGGTGCGTTCCAATTTCACTGTTGAGTCAGTACTGGATAAATTACTGAACATACCCATGGTAGGTTTACTATAATAATGATGTAAATGCATAGACAAAATTAAATATTAATAAAATAATTTTCAACTATCACAGTGATAGTTGCTGTCTAACTCATAGCCATTTATATTAGTGGGGGTTGTAACCCCACCAACCTTGATCTGTGTATCGTGTATCTTCTAAGTGACAGATATTGTTAAAGCTTACTTTTAAAGAACATAACCTAAATTAATTATTAAACATATGAATGCACAAAAAAGTATTAAGACGTCCTCCTTCCCGCATCACATAATATAATATTATTAATATTAGTAGGTACATTAGGGTGATCCAAAAAAACTAACATATCGGATTTATGGGTTAAAATGAACCTACATACCGAGCAAAAAATTTCCCTGCAAGGCAAAATTTTTTGCTCAATTTTAAAAGGTGTCGGTGAGCATTCTAAGTTTTCCATTGAAATAACACATAAAAAAATCTTTTTTCATTAAAAAGACTATAACTTTTGAACCAAACGGTTGGGAAATTTTTTGCCCGGTATGTAGGTTCATTTTAACCCATAAATCCGATAGGTTAGTTTTTTTGGCTCACCCTAAGGTACATAATAATATTATGTGATGTGGGAAGGAAAAAGAGAGGTCTTGTCGAAAAAACAATATTTTATTTAATTTTTTTAAATAGAATAGTAATTTTTTAACATTTTGAGACCAAATTTATTGTACTACCTCAAAAATTATCCGAGTAAGACTTTTTTCAACTTTTTCTACAAAGCGCTTTATACTTTCAAAACAGACAAAATTTTATTTATCTTACCTTTGTTGATGGACATAATCGAAACGTATAAAGCCTCTTCGGTATAAACTTTAAGATGAGTTCCTTTACGATCAACTGCTTGGGCGAGACGTAACAAAGAACTTTTTTTACTTTCGGAATTCGTTCGCCGTTAACGCTGATCAGTTTGGCTTCATAGCAAACGTTGTGATTTTTCGACGCCACGTTTCGATGTACTAAAGTCGAGTCCACGCTATTTAACACTATAATATCGAAATCGCCGTTATGCAGCTCGGTATTATTGTATTTGATGGTGGCGTGATAGCAGCCTTCGTTCAAAAACTTTAGTTGGATGCTGACTCGTTGCGTTTGCCAGTCGTAGTCCAGAGTGGTGGAGAAGTTTTCCTCGATTATGTCCAAGTTGGAATCCTGAGAGCAGGTTCCCAGCTGACAAATCTCCACTGTGTAATTCTAAAAAAAGTAAAACCAATTTTATCTTTCAACTAACCGAAAAATATTTAAAATAGAATAGAATAGAACGTTTTAAAATAGAAAGTTAAGTAAAGTTGATTATTTTAATTTAAATATTGTGACACAAACCATCAGAAAATACATTTTTTATATGTTAGCTGCGTAATTTAAATAATATTATTAATTTTATATAATATTATGAATTTCTGATTAATTAATATTATTGGTAAAATACAGTGCTATACAGGGTGGTCCAGTTCAAACGTAATTAATTTAAATGGGTAGACTTTTTTTAAAAACATTGCTTAAAAATGTATAAAAGACAGTTTTTAAAGTTTGATTTTAGAAAAAATCGATAAAACACTACTCCAAATCAGATGATTTATCTGAAGTTGCGTTCGTTTCATACTCCTCAATTTCTGCTTTCAATGCTAGCAATTCTTGAAGTTGGTCTTCGGTCAATTGTCGGAACTGTCGTCTCCGAGGTGGATTAGTTCCGGAACTTCGACCATTATTCTTTGCCGCTGAAACCACTCCTCAATAAGGCTCGGTTTCACATTTTCATCACTTTGTTGTCGCTATAGCTTACCTCTTGGATACAATTTAATGGGAGCAGGAGACCCACATGCTCCAGTTCCCTTTGAAAATAATTCACTAAATTAACCGAGTATTATGATCAGAATCGTATGTTTTTTTGCTAAGATCGAAAACTGAAACACTAATTTTATTATAAAAATACATTATTTGATGCAAAAAAACTGTACAAATTATAGAAATGAAAAACAAATATTAAATGTCAATTAAGAACGCCGCTGAGCACGTCACAAAATCCCAACCACTTCAACAAAAAACTAATGGGCTCTGTTCTTATTTAACACATGCTGGGTGAGCGCGACATCGGAATCACGTAGGTCTTAGATCCGAGTGATGCCCTAACCTAGCGGTTCCTTGGTTATTTCTACTTATTCGTTCTCACTGTGGAGAACTGGTCTTGAGTCCTTACGGTCTCTTACTGACCAGATACTAGTTTAACGTATCACGGCTTCAGCAAGCTACATCCGCCATTTGAAAATGTGGAAATTTCAATCTTGAAACATCCACTTAATCAGTTAAGTATACAAATCAAAAAATACCTCGCTAAAAGGTCACAGCTTGCGATGCCCAAAAATACAGGTATATTTCTATACCCATTTTGGCCCTCCCAGGTACACTACTTTTACAAAATGCATTTCCATTCCATTCCATGGAAATCAGCGGTTCCTTGGATTAAATACAACAACAATTGTAATGTCAGTTCAACCGCCTGCATCTCTGTGGAAACATTTTTGAGCAATGTTTTTTAAATGAAAGTGTACCTTATGTTTGATGGTAGTTACACTCAAAATTAATTAAGTTTAAACTATGTGAAGAGCGCATAAACAATTTTTTTAAATTATTGGTCTACACTGTAAATAAATTTAAATTTAAAAAAATAATTTTGCTTACTTACCTTTGTGGGATTATCGTTCAAATTAAAGTTGCAAATATTGCTATATTCATCACGTGGTTCAATGTATAAAAGGTGCGGTATATTTGCGGTGCACACCACAGTGCTACAGTGTCTTATGACTATTGTCCTTTGGGCGTATGGTGAACCAGCTACAAAACCTATACAAATGTGTTAATATAATATGTAATAAAGATTATATAATAATTAAAAAAAAAAACACTTAGGTAGCTTATATTAGAAAACAAAAGATATGTTGGTTAAGATATTCATAAAACTTTCAAAATTTATGAAGTTGCTTACTGCCTTATAAGGCGTCTAATATTTTTAAATGTATACTTTTAAGGTATAAAAGTATTCTTTTAAAAATATAAGACGTATATTTCAAAATTCAGTAACATTGCTTTACACGTTTTAAAGAAATATTGAAAACAAGGATATATCCTTATATAAACATCATGGAGCCTACTCAAGGAGTCTGAACTTCATGTAAACAAAAATCTTCCCAAGATAAGAGGGAGCTGATGTTTCGTTTATTCTGAAACAATTGACTACCAAAAGAGCAGACGTCAGTAAGCATCGACAGCGCCGCTGGTGGTGAAAAAAAAGACTTAATTTCTGCAATTTAGACGGCAGGTTATGTCAATTTTCCCTATTAAGTTCGGGCTCCTTGTGTAGGCTCCATGATAAACATATTTATCACAGTGTATTCTTATTTTATTTAAATATATTTTTACCTCTCATAAAAGGGCTTCCGGCAACGTGTTGGTTGCCCACCATAACTGTTATTCTGTATTGTCCTGCATGTCTAACCATAAATTTAACTTTTGCTAAGTTTGCGCTGTTCGGATCCGTTGGGGAGCCCAACTCGCTTATAACAGCGATCTAAAATACCATATAAATTTAGGGTTGCTTTTTGAACTTAAAATTCCTTAATTACTTAGATTACTATATGTGTATTTATATTTTAAAAGTGCTTAATACTGGAAAAAATATCGGATAAGTGACTTCCTCTGGCTCTTTGGCATGATATTATTTTTTTACATTATAAGAGTATATTCTTTCTAATAACAATATTTCTGCGTAAATACTACAAAGGTTCTGAATTAATCGAGACTTTTTAGTGTAAATAGTAGTAAATAGTTTAAAGGCCTAAAATCACAGGGCATGGCGGCCAGAAACTCAAACATGTCGAAGCCAAATTACAAGTGTTTTATTAGATGTATGTAAAGTTTCACCGTCTTGCTAAAACCTCATCGATATTTACCTACAAATTTTACGTTACAAATACTGCGGTTTCATTTAAAAGACCACACCAAACACTCTGGGGATGCAATATTGCGCGAGTGTACTGGAGAAGCCATATGGCTTCTCCAGTACACTAGCAGATTTTCCTCAGCCGGACTGATAAAATTTAATGATATCCTGCCAAAAAGCCATGAAATTTCACTCTTTCAATATTGTTTTTTATTAACAGACATATTTGTATTTATTTTACTTTTATTCAACAACCGCAAGGAAGCCCTGCTAATCAGCACTCTCGAGAGTGGGTTACACAATTTATTATTTCACCCACTCGATTGATATAATGAATTCCACGATTGTCCAATAAACCCTTGGGTGAAATAGCATGTTACACAGGGGCTAATGTAAGCTATAAGTTAAAATTGAAAAAAAAAGTGAGGTGTAAACTGCTTAACAGTTGTCAGATATCAGATGAAATATCAAATAAAATTGGCTTTTAATTCCTTGCGGTAGTTTGTGTGAGATGTTACAGCAGTGGATACGGTCTTGCTGCAAACTCCACGCTTAAGAAATTCTCCCACTAGTCGCATAAATTACTATTTAATATTTAATACCACCATAATAATTTCGTGGCCCTGCTGATGGGAAAATGAACGAATTTCCTGTTTCTTAACTTAAACCCGTGGACAAAATGCTGTTTAGCCCACTAGTGGGCAAAACAGCATTTTGCCCACTGAATAAAGCTAAACTTAAAAAAAGTGAGGTTAAAACTGTTTGATAGTTGTCAAATGTCAGATAAAATTTCAAACAAAATTGGCTTTAAATTCCTTGCGGTATACCGCGGTAGTTCAATAAAATATTGTTTGCAACTATTGCTCAAAAGACATGGATTCCACGTTCGTGTGGAAAAACTCCACGCTCGAGGAATCTCCTCTTTCTCCCACTAGTCGCACAATACCGTGTATTTATTTGTCAAATGTCAGATAAAATTTCAAACAAAATTGGCTTTAAATTCCTTGCGGTATACCGCGGTAGTTCAATAAAATATTGTTTGCAACTATTGCTCAAAAGACATGGATTCCACGTTCGTGTGGAAAAACTCCACGCTCGAGGAATCTCCTCTTTCTCCCACTAGTCGCACAATACCGTGTATTTATTTGTCAAATGTCAGATAAAATTTCAAACAAAATTGGCTTTAAATTCCTTGCGGTATACCGCGGTAGTTCAATAAAATATTGTTTGCAACTATTGCTCAAAAGACATGGGTTCCACGTTCGTGTGGAAAAACTCCACGCTCGAGGAATCTCCTCTTTCTCCCACTAGTCGCACAATACCGTGTATTTAAGAGAATCGTACATAGGCATAATAAATTGTCAACATGAAGCTTAGACGTTTAAAGAATCCATGATTTTTTTATTTGTTTTTATAAAGTACCTACCTCATGCTTTCACCGGTTTCCGAAGGTCAGACAATCTAAATTGTTTTACAGCGCATGTCACGCCTGTCCAATTGTATTTTCTTGCTTATCTGGTTCACTTGACAATGTATTGTGCCTATGTGCGCTTTCCAAGATACAATATACTATTTCTTTTAACTAAAAAGAGTCTAAATTTAAACACCTGTTTCACTAAAGGAATATAATAAAACTAAAATAGTTATGTAGTTTTTAATATTTTTGAATATTTTTGTTGAATGTACGAAAACATAAATAGTGCTTTACTATAGTAAGTTTACTTTATAGCTCTTATGATATTTTAAATTTGAATATAAATAAATTTTTAGTGACCATGGTCCATGTTTGATGATGGCAAAGGACTATTAAGATTGTATTACATTTGAATGAAAATAGCAAAATTAATGTATATGCACAAAATTAAACAAACATAAAACGTTCATTATAATTTTACTTTTTTACCTTTACCTTTCTAGGGCCCTCGGAAACATCCACAATAAAATTGTCGGTATCACAGATTGGATAAGGCTGTCCGTTACGTTGGTAAAACTGCACAGAGAAACACACTGTTGAACCTACGGGGTGGGGGTCCGACCATTGAAAATTAACCTAATGGGAAATTTAAGATTTAGTAGGAGTTGAGGTTCAGTCTTGTATTGTCTGCTGAAGCAGAAGGTTGTAGCTGGCCTTCCTTGAGACGACAATATAGGACTCACAGCACAAAAATACGCTGGTCAGTGCCAAATAAGCAAAATCTACAATAGATTGATTGATTCACGAATGGTTTCCACGATGGATGGTTAAAATAAATAAAGAAAATCAAGAATACAGCCATTCGCCATGATGCATGGTGAATGAACTATAAGATGAAGGATAAAAAGTATAAAACATGTGTAATGGAAATCAAACTGGTATAAATATTTAATGGTTAAGAAGAACTATATGGATAATGGTAAAATTGTAAGAATGATGTGTGTGTAATTTTGGACAATGTAAAACGTGTTGAGAAGAACTGAAGAAAGAAAATAGAAGTATGATTAAATAAATATATAACATAAATGGAAAATGAACTGGTAAAGAATTGATTAATTGGTTGAATTAGAAAAATTACATGAAAAACGAAGAAAATAATTGAAAAAAGTAACAGTGAAATAAGACTTAAACTGATATTAAAATAAACAATAAATAGTGAGAATATATATATATATAAATGATTCAAGGGATGAATTAAACTCAGACTCTCTTGATTGAGACCCTTGTTCATATTCATTTTTTTAAACATAATGAGCTGGCCAAATTAGCTTTTAATTAAGCTAGAGGCCATTACCCCTGAACACAGTGCTCTGTGTTCAGGTTTAAGAAGAAGAAGAAGGAGTTGAGGTTTAAAAAAATCAGTTTTGTGTTGTCTGCTGAAGCAGACAGGTCTTAGACGGCCTTCCTTGAGAGGACAATATGGGACTCCCAGCACAAAAATAAGCTGGCAATTATCAAAAATATAAAATCTATATCAGATTGAATATTTTACAAGAATCCTCCATAACGGATGGATAAAATATATATGGAAACAAATCTGCAAGCAGACATTGGACATTTAACGCATGGTTCAGTTTAAAAAAAAATGTAATATAGATGAAACAAACTAAAGCTATTGATGAGAACATATATGGAAAACGAACTGGTAAAAAATTGATTAATAATAATTATTAATCAATTCTTTACCAGTTCGTTTATTATTATAATAATTATTGGTTGATTTGGAAAAATAAGTGAGAGTGAAAGAAAATAGACCAAACTGATTTTAAAATAAAATAAACTATAAATAGTATTTATTAAATACTGAGAATATATTATATAAATGATTCAAGGAATGAGTTGAACTAGATTCTCTTGATTGAGACCCTTGTTCATGTTAACTTTTTTAAACATAATGAGCTGGCCAAATAGCTTTTAATTAAGCTAAAGACCATTGCCCCTGAACACAGTGCTCTGTGTTCAGATTTAAGAAGAAGAAGGTTTAAAAAAAGTGGCTTATTTACTTTACAATTGGAGGGCAATAGATATTTTCCAGTGACGTATTGCAGTAAGGAATGTTTTGCTTCTGGTGCAAGCGAAGGCTGAGTCATGGCTGCCAACGTTACCAAACCGGCAACGGAAACTGAAACAACGAGCATGCCACCTGAAAAAATAAGAGAATACACATTCTGTAAAAATATTTAAATATATGTATACATTATGCCTACCCGGCTGAAAAACAGGCATGGGCAGACGTAAATTCCGGATGAAATATAAGTCAAAACCGGACAAAAGTAGATACAAATCTTATCCGCCTATAGGTACCTGCGTTATGCCCGCTTTGCTATATGCTATATGTAGCGAACGTCCGGTTTTACCTATCTTCCGTCCGGTTAGTTCACCATCCGGTTTTGCCTGTCCGTATAAACATTTTATTCAAATCTGCATTGATCTGGTTTCACCCGCACACATCGGGTTTAGTCTGGTTTTATTCGCGCTTGCATGCAATTTGTTTGTCTATTTTAGTCTGCTTTAATCCGCGATTGCCTGCTTTTCGTTCGTCGGCTTTCGTCTGGATTGATCAGCAAATGCCTGATACATCCGCGAATGTCCTGATTTTCGTCCGGTTTGTGCACCATCGTTAATCATCCGCAATCAACCGGTTTCGCCTTGCTGTACAGTGTACAAAACTTCATGTCTGAATTGATCCAGTTTCATCCGCAAACGTAGTTTTCATCTGGTTTTTTAGTCATGGAGCGAAAGCTTCACGACTATATGTAGTCACTAGAAATTTCTGAAACTTGTTCGTTGTTTGGGAAAACTATTTAGATACCAGAAATTTTTATATTTTTATTATGGTTAAATACATCTTTTATTAAAATTTCATCAGTTTAAGGTCCAAGTACATTTTGTAACGATTTTTTCAACAAAATTTCGGGTTTTACGCATCGTGCATTACAGATTAAAGGAATTGTCGTAAAAAGACCAAATTTGGTAAAAAGTTGTAAGACAAACATGGTACAAAGTGAGAAATTTCGATTTTTTTCCAAAAGTTTTTTAATTTTTTTTACCGAAAACTATAAACGAAAAACATACATTAATGTGTAAAGGAACATTATTCAACACTTAACTGGTACGTTGGGGTCTCACGTGACCCCAAGCACTTAAAATCGTTTTTAAATTTTCAATATTTGAAAACAAAGCCTTGACCGTCTCAGTAGCTGCAGGCTACCCAGATAGCAAAATGTAGTTCCGATGCGCGCAATTGGAGTGCACACGTGCGACTTAAGTCGCACGTGTGCGATGCATCTGGCCTTACATATATGTCCACATTTGAGTTGCATCTGAAGCGCACGAATGCGATTTAGAAAGCCACCTGAAAGAAAATGATCTTCACATGTAAAATTCTGGCCTAAAGAAGTTAAAAATGTAAAATTTTGGATATACCAAAGAATTAACAAGGAGGTGGTGTTAATTAACACTTCTTACACAATTAAGACCATCAAGCCTCTATCACAAATTGGTTGGTTAACCACGCCTTTAGGCAAATTTGGATCTATCTTTTAACAAAAGAAGATTTTAAATCCCTAATACTCAGATCCCTTAACCAAGACAGTCTTTTCGAGATGGCGTAGGTTGCAATGATAATCCCACTATTATTCAATTTGCAACCATTGGTCAACCATGGAAAAGGTCAATTTTAAACTTACAATATGCTGTAGAGGTCATTTATGAAATTCTCCTATTTTTTTAAATCAAATATATATAATCAAATATATATATATATATATATATATATATATATAGTTAATTTACATGGATTAATACTCATTTAATCCATTTTATTAAAATTTTTATGTAAACATCCACGGATATATGCATATTTAGTACATTTTATTTCATCTATAGATATATCATTAAAAATAATTCATTCAAAATGGATTTATTGCAATCTGAAACAATTATTGTTTGGTGGGTTGGATCCTTTCTGCATAAATTATTAATTATAAATAACAATAAATGTCATCGCACCTGCCACGCACATATTTAAAACATGTGACTTTACTGTGAATGTGTATACGAACGCACGTGTGCGATATGCGAAAATGGTCTCATCGCGTGCGCCTAAAACTCACGCGTTACTTAATTTTGAATGCGTAATAGCGCTCACGCGTGAGACCGCACGTCATGCGTTTTTCGTGCGACGCACTATTGCTATCTGGGTATACGATGATTTAGTTTGTGCTTGAGAGCGAAACCGATCGTCCGGTCTTCCGTTTTTTAATTATTGACGTTTGGGGTCACCGTTGACGTACTTTTTACGCGATTTTAGTTTAGTTTAGTTTTGCAATGGCGAACAAATATTTAAGAGAACAAGAGAAACAAGATGAACCTACGTTGCCTGTTGACTATTGTAGTGAGTCTGACGAGGACATTAGTGATGATCCAACTGATAAAAGTGATCACGACTCTGTGTGTGAGCTCAAATATTCTGAGGGGGAATAATGATTAACTTTGGTAGAAAAGACTGAGACGAGACGAATATATTTCTACAGTTCTTGTTTTGCACCTAATTTTATTTTTTAATAAAATAAAGCCCTTGTCAAAAAAAGAAAATTTTTGTTAAAGTATTTTAAAGTAATAAAGTTTTTAAATTTTATCACTTTTTTATTCCCATGTCACTTTTTAATAGTCAAAATTATATAGGTAGACATAATTTAAATATTGCAAATTTTATTTATTTTCCTTAAAAAAAATTTAATTTTTTTTATTTTAAAAAATTTTTATGTGAAAAATTATATATGTTAATTTAATAATTTTTTAAAACTTTAAGGTAAATAATGTTTTTTTAGATCAATCTGCAAAAATATTCTTAAAATGTTTTCTTCTTTTTCTACGACTTATTTAGCAAAATTATTCATTCATTCATTCAACTCTCAAACTATAGGTGACGACTTGAAATTTGGCTATAATTTCTGATGCCATGTCATCATAAAAAAACATATAAACTAAAAAACAATTGGTAATTTTTTTTTCAAAATTTGATTACTTATTTGTCACTCTTTTATAAAATTCTATTTTTGGGGCAGAAAACTTAATTTTAGAAGGACAATGTAATGACATTAGAAAAATATATTTTTATGACAAATCTTTATTAGTTTTTAAAATGTAATTAAGATGTATGTAAATAGGAGACAACGGACTAGTCCTATGTCTGACCAAAAGAAACCTACAGACGTTCTGGATAGGTTAAATCCTGAGCAGAGGCGGATTAAATGTCGAGAGCGCCCTAGGCAAGCACCTCATCGGCGCCCCTCTAGCGGCCATATATTATAAATTTTAACTACTACTTACCTAATAATTAGCTGTGCCCTGCGGTTTCACCCGCGTGGAAATTTTGGTTTCCAGCTATCTACATACCAAGTTTTATCAAAATCGATTTAGTAGTTTTTGCACGAAGAAGTAACACACACATTCGCAGTTATAATATTATCAGGGTAAGTACACGTGTCCTGGCATATACTTATAATTAGGTATTAGGCGTGAATGAAATATGTGATATACATTTCTATAGAATTAACTTCTACAACATATTTTACATGTTAATTTTAATTTTATGTTAATTAGGAGTACCGATACAGACGGCCAGTCGAGTAAATGTGCTCTCGAATTCGATCGCTCTTAAGTGTACCGAATAATAAGTTTTAAGGAAACATAAAAATCGCTCATATGGGCGAAATTAGAGCAAAGATTTACTACTTGGACAACGAAAATCAGTGTACCTGTTGTCCAAAGTCTTAATAGAAACATTAAATTAGTGCATTATAAAGCAATCCTAACAATATAGTGAATACGGACACGGGAGAAATTTAGTGATAAATGACAGCATACCTGAAGATCTAACCCTAGGCCAATATGAATCACCTTATGTAAGGAACAAACTAGTCTATAGACTAGTTTGTTCCTTACTTGCGTATTAGGTCATGCGATTAATTGGTACTTATCAGATTTTTGCAGATGATGGCCCCTTCCACTCTATAGAGTGGAAGGGGCCATCATCTGCAAAAATCTGATAAGTACCAATTAATCGCATGACCTAATACGCAAATTCGCAACAAAAACCTAACAATAATCAATCATTATTACTGAAAACAGCGTAACAAAAACCTAACAATAATCAATCATTATTACTGAAAACAGCGTAACAGTGTAAATTATTCAATCATTAGGTGAGAACGTCACAAAACATAAATGAGCATAAAGTTAGAGGCCAGCCCCAAAAAAATTAAATGTTTAAAACTTAAAGAACGAAAATAAAATAAACAACCAGTTCCAATATATTTGCCTAACTTAAACATAAACCACTAAACACCTCTAAATTTTAGGCATTGCATGCTGCTAGCTGTATAAGTAAATTAAAAAAAGCAAAAAATTATATAGAATAAATATAACTTCTAATGGTTAGAAAAGAAAAAGAAAAAACGTAAATACAATTTCTACCACAAAATGATGGTTCTCGACCCCTACACTGAGCAAAACTGGGCAAACAATTGCTCTCAACAGTTTCCGAATTTCAGCAGACTACAAGACCAGCAAACCAACCAAACCTCATTCATGAACCCCAAATAAATGGGAGCATTACTAAATCCCTGGTTAAGGGGGATTCTGGATTGTACTTAGTTTTGGGTCAGTCCAATGTCACCCAAAAACCAAAATATTTTCCCTTCTTATCCCGTACTCCACTAGCCTTAATCTGGCGTATGGCCCGGCCCGACGAAAAAATTCCGGGAGTGGCCTTAACCATCCAAACTGTCATCCTCGACCTTCTAGGCGTTGCCGATGGGGCCTGCCATACGTTCCTTATACTCATACTCAATTTTAATTTTATGTTAATTATTTTTTTCGTTTCAAACTCACGTGCGCGTGCTGATTAAATAATCAAACCAATAAGTTGTAAATCTTTCTTTAATAAATACCTACTCGGTGTTCATAAAAACTTGCGTTTTTATCAAACCTCGCGCCCCCTTGTAACCTCGCGCCCCTAGGCACGTGCCTAGTTTGCCTTAGGGATAATCCGCCTCTGATCCTGAGGATGTCCTATAAACGTCTTACAGGTTATTCTACGGTATATGTAGGTCGTATAGAATCATCATTAATCAGCTGTGCAGGCATTTGGGAATAAACCTGTTGAATGCAGTTATATAACGAAATGCAGGCGATCGCGGATAAAACAGGAAAAAATTTGATATTTGCGGATAAAATCGGATGAATGCAGACAGACAATCGCGGGTGAAATCATAATCATAACGTCAATGCCGGACGTTTGCGAATGGTATTTACACCCGGCCGGGTATATATACCGGTATTGCATATAAAATCCGACGTAACAAATCCAATATAAAAGGCAAAGGCAGTCATAACCGGACATAAAACCAGCTTGGTTTTTCATCCGCTCATTCCTGTTTTTTTAGCAGGATATACAATTTTGTAATTGGGTTAAAACTGGTTAATTTATTAGTTGGGTTTTAATTTGTTTATCTTTTCACCCTATAATATCAATATTATTAGCCTCAACGCATCCCTTATTCAATATTGTGTTAGGACAATAAATCGATAAAAATCATTTGTTTTACCCTATTTATATCCCCGCCTATGCCTGTCATTCATATTAAGTATTTTGGTTTTTGTTAGAAGATTAAATAGTATAGGTTATTCGGAGGAGTAGGTATTTTTGTGCTTCGCTCAATTGCTTTGCCTTGGAGGAAAGCGACTAGGCCGCAATCTTTTAAGCTCAGCGCAAAAAGACTTACTTCTCCTACTAATGACACAATCCACTATTATTTACCCCATGTCCAGGCGTCTTGGTGATTGCTACTCTTGACAACTTCCGACCACAGATCGTTCTTCAGGGTCTCCAACCTTGGCTTGGATGTTGGCAGGGATTGGCGCGCTCCGCTCCAACGGGAAAAATCCTTGCTAAACAACGGCCTTGCCTTATTATCCTCCAACCTGAAATAAAATATTTATTTTATTTAACCACATTTTTATTATTAACTCGTATTCTTGTCTGTGTTTGTTTGCCTGTTCGGTACAAATTTTGCAAACGATTTAAAAGTAACTACACGATGAGGTAAAGACGTGAAACTTTAAACACACTTTTGGTGCTTTCGTTCAAAATGGCCGCTGCCCCAAGATGGCGGATTACCTACCTATTTTTTCACAACTTCCTTGACATAGATATCAAATATAAGGATTTCTCGAGCAGAATACGTGACGTCAATATAATTTCAATATGGCGGATGTAACTAACCCAGATAACATTATGAGGTTCATAATTAACGCATATTCCAGTCACAACGTGATTGTATTCCTCACGTATGCACGCATATATGCATCATTTGCGTCATCAATTGAGGTTTATATAGCCAGCACATGTGATGGTTGGAGAAACATTGTGAGGTTCATAATTTACGCATATTGCAGTCACAACGTGATTTTTAATCCGCACGTATGTCACATATATTATATGCATCATTTGCGTCATAAATTAAGGTTCATATAGCCAGCACATGTGATGGTTAAAGAAATTTTTCTGGGCATGATTAACAGGTGAATTTTGGACTTGCATTGCCTTAATTTGATTGTTTTTCTTACGTTTCGATTAGTAATTATCTTTAATTGTCTTCAGTTATTACCTGAAGACCATTAGAGATAATTACTAATCGAAACGTTGTAAGAAAAACAATCAAATTTAGACAAGGCAAGTCCAAAACTCAACTGTTAATCATTCATAAAATTGATTTATTACGAAATGTTGGTCAATAAGTAATAATCCAAAAGATTTTCTATAAGTCATTTTTTTTAGTTTTTGTGACAATTGTATACATTTATAGAAAGATATCTTATTTTAATTAAACAATTTATAAATAAAACAATGATAAATTAATTTATAACCGTGATCTTAAGATCAACGTGTTAACTCGTTGATCTTAAGATCAATTCCAATTTGGAATTCCAAAAAAATTATGTATATTTTTTTATACAATTGTCTACAAATTTAGTCTTTACAAATCCAGTCTTTTCACAAATTAACCATATGGTTTAAACCAAAAAATTGACTTAATTAAGTCAATTTTTTGAAAATTTTAGTTATAATATGAAGTAAAATCAACAATTTTCGCAAGATTTTGCTTAGCAAAAGTGAAAAGTTTGTAATCATTTCGTGCCCTCATATACCAATCACGTGCGTGTATTCCCATTAATCATAAAATGAATATCATATCGCAGCGTTTTTACCGTCACGCACGATTCCGCACGAAGTGGAGGCAATGTGCGTTTTGGTGCCCGTGCGTATATTCCCAATAATCATAAAATGAACATCATATCGCAGAGTTTTTACCGTTAAGCATGATTCCGCACGACGTGTAGGCGATGTGCGTTATGATGCCCCTCACGGTTGTTATAACATACTAATGTTTATAAGACTAAAAGGTAAAAAATAAATTAACTGTTTAAAACTATACTAAACTAAACAGGTGAGGCGCTTCTCGGATACGTTTCATGCATGCTCCACACCATAGAGAAAGTAAAATAAATTTACAAAAATGGCTACAAAAATCATTTTTGCTTTAATTTAAAAATTGTTATTTCATTTTTAATTTAATATCGATTAATGAACCTTAAAAATCTGTTCACATTAAATTGTATAGTTCAAAGATAATACCCCATGGGGTGTATTATCTTTGGTATAGTTTACAGTAAACCTATATATGTGAGGTTATGTTACCATAAGTTTACCCAGTATGGAGGCGCTTTAAACACTTTACTCACTACAACAATGCATTTCACCACTCTTTTATTTTCTCTATGCTCCACACTCAAAGTCCCCACCTTGACATTAAAATAATTGAGGTTATACATATATTTCACAGTTTAACGTTAATTTCGTCTTATTATGTGTTATGTAAATTTTTTTTCTTACTACCTCGACTCAAAATACGTTGTTTCGTCCCCGATTCCACGGCAAAAAGTTTACGTTTTAGAGCCGTTTCACATGCGACTGATAAAGTCCTGACGATCAGTCCTGATGGTCAGTCCTGATGACTAGGGGCCATTGTTTAAATGAACTTTTTCACATGCACTGCGTATCATCGGTTGACTGATTCGTCGGCACGGGCATCGGGACAGCCCGTGCGCACTGCGTACCGTCAGGACTATTAAGGGCTGTTAGTTATATGGAGTATTTCATATGGTACGTACGGTCAGCAGAAACAGTGTTGCACAATAAGTAGTTTACGCATTGATACAGAAATTGTAATAAGTAGCATCGAACAGCGAAGATGCATCTGGTATGCAGATGATGAGAACTACAAAAAAAGGGATGCATTTGAAGAAGTAGCGGAAATAGTAGTTCCGGATTTTGAAAATTTTGCGGAAGCAAAAAAGAACTTTTAAAATTTTGCGTTGTATTATTCTCTTTATACAAAAAGCGGCAACAGCGCAGTTCTGGAGGCGCTGAGAACCGTCTCGTAGTAGACATTTCCGTACTATACGTTGCTTGTGAAACAATGGCCATGACCGTCAGTCCGTATCATCAGGACTGATCGTCAGGACTTTATCAGTCGCATGTGAAACGGCTCTTATGCATTGGTCAAGCTATACGCGCACACTCTAATAGCGGGAGTAAACATTTTTTAGTCGTGTGCTTAACATTTAAATTTCGTACTGCCAACATGAGAAACACAAAAATATGACAGTTTTAAACCATAATTTTGCAATTATAACAACAAATAAACAATTTATGTTTTTACTTTTTTACTTTTTATGTTGTTTTAAGTGTTTAATGGTACTTTTATTTGTTATAAAGTAGTAATTTGTTAATTAAAATACAACCTTTTATTTTTACTGTATTGGCACCGCTGAATTGACGGCCTACTGTTATTTATTTATCAAGCTCTTCAAATGGAGATAGGTACATAAATACACATTTAATTTTTTCCCGTATTTTCGGCCGGGTTGTATTTTCGGCCGAGGTAGTAAGAAAAATAGTATACACTACACGGGCAGAAAGTGTGAGAGCCCTGAACTGCGCGCCATGATCATGGCGCGCAGTGCAGGAATCTCACACTTTCTGCCCTTGTAGTGTAATATAAGTACTATTTCTTAATTGAAAATTTTATAAAAAATACATATATTATTTTATTTATTCATTTAAATTACAAATCCAACAGGCTGATGCCCAATTACAGGATAGGTTAAAACCACAGTCTGTGGTTAAAACTATATAAAAAGAAATACATGATAAACAATGGGTGCACTGTTTTAAAACGTTTTTTACGAAATTATAAAAATAGTGTGAGAGCCCTGAACTGCGCGCCATGATCATGGCGCGCAGTGCAGGAATCTCACACTTTCTGCCCTTGTAGTGTAATATAAGTACTATTTCTTAATTGAAAATTTTATAAAAAATACATATATTATTTTATTTATTCATTTAAATTACAAATCCAACAGGCTGATGCCCAATTACAGGATAGGTTAAAACCACAGTCTGTGGTTAAAACTATATAAAAAGAAATACATGATAAACAATGGGTGCACTGTTTTAAAACGTTTTTTACGGAATTATAAAAATAAAACCAAAATTAATAAGTGAATATTAATTTTTGTGTGTGCCAGTTGCTAATAAATAGTTAAGCTGGCGCGCACCTCTCAATATTATTTTATGTTTGACATATTTTTGTAATTTTGACATTTCGTCCGTAAGCATTGTTTGTTCAGATTATTATAATAATTTTATACATTGTGCTTATCATATTCTACAACTGGATTGTGTAAAAAATGTTCTAAGGATTGGCAACGCCAACAATTATTAGATTGCGAAGACATTGCGCCCTTAATAATAAATTTGGGGAAATAATCAGACTCCAAGTCTGACCTAGTTCGCTCTGACGACAAAGACGACTGGTAATTTAGTATTTTTTGTTATGTACACATGTAATAAAAATGCAATAAACTTTGTTTGTTTCCTCTCCAAACACATTTAATCAAAATTTGCCCGTAACAAACTCCCAATTAGTAACTACTAACTAGGTCCATTACAAAACTCGGCTTATCTACTTTTTAATAAAAATGAGTAAGTGGTGTCTGTATTAGCCCCCTATACCTTAAAAAGGTCATAATATTCTAAAACTCACCTTATTCCATTTAAAATGCATTTGGGTCATTCCATGCAAAATCGACAAATTTTTTACCTGACCCCTTTCGATTTCGCTAAAAATCTCCCCAAAAGACATTTTTCATAATTTTTTAAAAATTTTTTCCCAACTCAAAAAAAGTTACGAATTTAAAAAAAACCGCTCTTTTTTTCAAATGCTAGAACTTTTGACCGTTTGGGACAGTTTTTTTTTCAAAATTTTTGTTTTTAAATGTAGTTTTCAGAAAAAAATAAAAAAAAAATTTCAGAAGCCTAGATATACAGGGTCCGGTAACAGAATTGAACGGTTTTAAAAATGCTGCTATGGAAATACTCTTGATTTAATATATGTCAAATAGTGACAGACTTGTACCTTATTGCCGAAAGTTTCGTGGCTGCTATGGAAATACTACATATTGATTTAATATATGTCAAATAGTGACAGTTTCGTGTACAATGGCAATTAAAAATTGTGTGCAGAAATTGAGTCGATTGACTTTATGAATGGCACTTGAAAATTATATTCACGACGAAAGCGTCTCTGCGTTTGTATACGAAGGACTGGGTCAGGGTAAACGAATTTACAGCAAAGATCCGTTGATTAACCGGCCAGTTTGACATTGCACACGAAACCTTCGGCAATAAGGTATAAGTCTGTCACTATTTGTGTATACCAAATCAATAGTATTTCCATAGCAGCCTTTTCAAAACCGTTCAATTCTGATGCCGGACCCTGTATGAAATACTTTGTTTTTTTTTCGAAAAAAACGTCATTTTCTCAAAGTCTAATCAACATAATAATTGCAATTCTGTA